AAAAGTCTTCAAAATCGTCATCTGAAATCATCTCTTTCATTGGACTCTAATYTAACTTTGGCTACAATCTCTGTGGACGATAATCCGGTACTTGTACCACTTTATTACTTGGAAAGACGACGTTGGGCCATATTGTATACTTGCTTTGTGGCCCAATTTCATTAGTCTGAAGATGTGAAATATAACCGACCAGCCACCCTTATTCCAAAAGACAACTCTCCTTGATATGTCACCCTTATTCCAAAAGACACCTCTCCTTGATATGCCACCCTTATTCCAAAAGACACCAATCCTTGATATGCCACCCTTATTTCTTTTTCAAAATCTATGAACTAGTTCGGATAAAGGACCGCAGTCACAACCATCTTATCGAATCCTCATTCATAGTTTTATCCATAAAATCTATAGATTAATTCCAAATGAAGACAGATCAAAATCACAACCATCTCAAAAGAATATTCTCTATAGTTTTCAACCAACAATAGTTTCAAAAACAGTTTTATCATCAAAACTCTAAATATCCAAGAACAACCGGATCTTGCAATTCTTTCTCCAAACTTAAATTCTTTTATATCCTCTCACCGGATATTATTTCAAAAATATCTCTTTTAAAGAAACAATCTCTTCTTTTACTTTTCAAAACAGTTTTCTAAAGTCATATTCATATCCATAACACCTTTAAACTGTCAAAACAGTTTTACCAATCTTTCTTCAATATCAATATAACTCTGCAGTTCATATAACAATGAATATAAAGGTTTTTAGTTTATCAAAACTCACCTTAATAATCACAAATTCTGCAGATTGTAAACACACATCAGATCTTCAATTAGCACCGAATCTTCAAATCACTTTTGTGTATTAATCTTTCTCAAGAACTTTTTCACCGTCACACACTTACTTTTTCTCAATAAGGTTCCTTTCTCCATAAATCAAGATAAGATAAGATCTTATCTTTTCCTTCTTTTATATATTTTTCTAACAAAGGCGGTGATGACGTTAACCAATAAAGGTAATTTAGGTGGTGGGTTTTTCTTTATAAAATTCATGATTTCTTAACCATGAAGGTCTAAGTTTTTAAATATTATAATAATGTTTCCACTAGATTATCTTATCATATATATGCACCACCTCATGTATGCTTCACACCACATGCATACATGTATAAATCACATATACATCATGTCATCTTTTCACATATATGCATGCACAATATCATGTTCACATTTCACATATATAGTTCATGCATTTCTAAATTAGACATGCATATTTCACGTAATACACATAATAAACACGTATAAATTACCTCAATCCAGGTGGTCTAAAACCTGGTTATAACAGCTACCAACATTTTCAGGGCTTCTCTTCTCAGTGTTAGTTGTTTCTCTCTTAGCAGTCCTCATTACAACTGATCTTTATAGCATATTAGACACCATTGTCACCAGGTTTACTACTGAGGTTAGTCGACAGGATGCAAACATACATGCTTATTGTCGTACTACAGCAGTTGGGGACAGTGTTGATTCTATTAGTGCTCGTTTGACTGTTATCTCAGACTCTCGGTCCAGTATCTTACGAGACATAGTAGAACTTCGAGCCCACTCAGACTCTCAGGCTGACACAAATCAGGTCATTCTTTAGTCTCTTGTCGATTTGCACTCTAAGGTTGATGCACAGACTTAGATATCCAATATAATCTTAGAACGGGATCCTCCTGAAGTTTCTATCGACTTGGGTGCTAGTCAGTTCATAGAGTCGGACAAAGTTCTATTGACTGAGGTTAGTCGTTATGTTCAATCTAATTCTAATCTCCTAGGCAATCTTCATCGCAGTGTTTCTTGTTTACTGTGTGCCACAGATGCTCCACTTACCCCTTTTTCTCGTGTTACTACTTTTGTGTATTCCTCCATTCCTACTGCGAAGGAACCCCCAATTGCAGCTTCTATGCCTTCCATTGTTCCTAATGAGGGGGAGAAGACAGTTGATCATGCTACAAGTGACAATGGGAACGACTCAGCATCTACCTCTTCTGCCTCTTCTTTCTCATCTGATCATGACTCAGACATTGATGCTCCTTTTGAGGGTAGGGGTGAACACGGGTTGGGTTGGGCGGTTTATGACATTTTAACCCAACCCAATTATGGCGGTTTGAAAAATCTCAACCCAACTCAACCCATTCAAAAGTATAACCCAACCCTTGCAGGTTAGGGCAGGTTGGGTTGGGTTGGGTTGGGTTGGCGGATTACTAAAACTCATAAAATTGTCAAATGAAATATGATAAATAATACTAAAAATATACCAACAAAGTCATTAGTTATTACAATCATCCAAAAATATATCTAAAGACTAGATCCTCAAGTCTTGAAATCAATTTTCAAAAATCAAAAGTTTGATACGAGCAATAGACTTCCCATTTCCATATGTTAAATGCTTAATCAAGTACAACCGTCTTTGACCTTCCCGACTCCGATGTTGCATTCTCCTTGAGCTTGTCTACAATTCAAAAAGAATATTAAATAATTTATTAAGAATATGTAACTATATAAGCATGAAAAAAGAACCATCGTTAAGTTTAATTTCTTCAAGAAAGTCATAAGATGAAATTTCATCTAAAAACTCACTTATTTGAATCCCCTTATTGTTCTCTTTCAACTAACTTTGTGTGCATACAAGGGCCTCCACCATTTTTGGACTCAAAGAGCTTCTAAATAAGTCTAAAATACGACCGCTAGTACTGAAGGCGGATTCAGATGCTACAGTAGATATAGGTATAGCAAGAACATCTCTAGTTATCATAGACAAAATGCTATACCTATTAGTATTATCTTTCCACCAAAGTAATACGTCAAATGATGGAGTTTTTGGATTGATAGATCCATCAACCAAATATCTATCAACGTCGTTCATGTTTTCCGGCACGTCCATTTGTTGTTGTTGCAAAAATGATTCCAATAATCTTTTTCTTTGAGATTCTTTGGAATCATTCTTTGGTGGTGATTCTAGTTTGRTAGCCTATACAAAAAAAATGAATATAAACTCAACAAACGATAACATATTAACATGCATAATTAAATTTTAAAAAATGAATAACTAACCTCATCACCATCTTTACCACCTTGTGAATATTGATTATATAATTGATGAAGAATTTGTTCCACCTTAACAACAAGCTTAGCAACAGTTTGAGCATCATATAAGGACTCAAAACAAAACTTCAAATACTTCAACTTATACCTCGGATCAAGACAACTGCAAAAACAACATGGGATTGATGCGATCTGGATCACCCCAATATTTGTCATATTTACTCTCCATCTTAGTAGCCATGGTGTATAACAATGAACCATTGTTACTAGCCAAGTAACTCAACTGAGAATCAATCTCACAAAGCTCATGAAAGAAGTTGTTGGAAGTTATGTGCAATGTGCCACTAAACTTCAAAGTAACTTCGTAAAAAGTGGACAAAATTTTGACAAAAATAGAAGCACACTCCCAATCACTAGAACTAGGTGGTCCAATCCTCTTCTTATCATTTTCTTTCTCCTCAAAATAACTCAAAAACTTGTCATCTTCATCCGCGCACCTTTCAAATGTCTTTTCAAATTTAAGAGCTACATTCAACATCATGAAAGTAGAATTCCATCTTGTAGGAACATCTAAAACTAACCACACTTTGTAATCAACTTTTTCCTTCTCAACGTAAGATTTAAACTTTTGCAACCTTGAAGGAGATGAACGAATATATCTAACACAGTTACGAATTGCAGTAATTGAATTATGCATCTCTTTCAACCCATCGTTTACAATTAGGTTTACTATGTGAGCATTACATCTTAAATGCATGTAC